TTTTTTTGAGATGGAGTTCTACTCTTGTTGCCCAGGCTGGAGTGCAGTGGCACGATCTCAGCTCACTGCAACCTCTGCCTCCCGGGTTCAAGTGATTTTCCTGCCTCAGCCTCCCATATAGCTGGGATTACAGGTGCACACCATCACGCCTGGCGAATTTTTGTATTTTTAGTAGAAACAGGGTTTCACTATGTTTGCCAGGCTGATCATGAACTCCTGATGTCAGGTGATCCACCCACCTCAGCCTCCCAAAGTGCTGGGATGACAGGTGTGAGCCACTGCACCCGACCTTTGTTGTTGTTGTTGTTGTTGTTGAGATATGGTCTCACTTTGTTGTCCAAGGTAGAGTACAGTGGTACAATCATGGCCACATCACCATGCCTGGCTAATTTTTTTTTTTTTCATTTTTTGTAGAGACGGAGTCTTGCTATGTTGCCCAGGCTGGTCTCAAGTTCCTGGGCTCATGCGATCCTCCTGACTTGGCCTCCTAACATGCTAGTATTACAGGTGTGAGCTATTGAGCCCCACTCATCCTCCAACTTTTACCCCACAATCTATTCTGCCTCCTTTGAGCAGTATCCCTGGATAGACAGCGGCTTCCCCTCAGGTACCTGGGGAATTTGGGGGCCTCCTCTCCACTGAAGACCAGACTGGAAAAGAGAGACTCCACCTCACATTCTAGAGCGCCATCCCCACAAATGAACAAATGAGTGAATGGGATGCCTGTTGAAAAGGCAGGGTATAGACAGCCTGGGGTCAATTTTAGCTTCACCACCTCCCAGCTGTGTGACCTCAGCTGATTTGCATGACCTCTCTGAGCCTCAGCATCCCCACCCTGTAAAATGGGAATCCACATAGCATCCCCTATCACAAAGGAGCAGGGAGGGGTGTGAGGGGCTCGTGGGTGAAAAGCACAGAGCACAGCCTGGGCCCCAGTGAGCCCTGGTCCGTGAGGGCTGGTAGCATAATAATTATTCTCTCCGTGTGCTGCACAGGGTGGCCCCGGAGGCCTTAGCAGAAATAACAGAAGCTCCCAGCTGGTGATGATGGTCCTGACCACTCATTGGGGAGGGTGCTATGGGGCCAGGAAGGGATGGGGGTGCTAGAACTGCCCCTGGACCCTGATGGGGCCAGGATCCTACGGGCAAGACCCTTCCTGGTGGCTCAGCCGACTCTGCACCCACGCCCCAAGCCTGCAGGATGGCTTACCCTTCTGGGACTGCCCCGAGCTGTTGAACATGCCGGCAAAGGCCAGCCTGGGGGCCACCTCACAGGCGTTGATGACCTCAGCTTTTCCTAGGAGAAGCAAGTAGGCAGACTGACCCACCCAAACCCTTCATGCCCTGTGAGCCCAGGGGCCACTCAACTGTGCCTCGGCCCAACCCACACCCCCTGCCCCTCTCCCTCGCCTCTCCTGAGGCACTCACACGTGGTGCTGTTGTAGATGGTGAGGAACGGGCCACCCCCGATGCCCATGCTGTGGGTGTTCATGAGCCCCACATACAACAGGGCTGCAATGGCTGCATCCACCGCAGAGCCACCGTCCCGCAGTGCGTCCCCGCCATGTGGCACATAAAAGGGTGAGAACCCACAGGCTTCCATCCTGGCCCACCTGCTCAAAGGAGGATGGAAGAGAAGTCCATTCGAGTTTTGGAGTTTTTGTTTTTCTCTTTTTCTTTTTTTCTGAGACACAGTCTCACTCTGTCGCCCAGGCGGGAGTTTAGTGGTGTGATCTCAGATCACTGCAGGCTCAACCTCCTGGGCTCAACTGACTCTCCCACCTCAGCCTCCCAAGTAGCTGGGACTACGGGCCCATGCCACCACCCCCGGCTAATTTTTGTTTGTTTGTTTGTTTGTTTTGCTGTTTGTAGAGATGGGATTTCACCATGTTGCCCAGGCTGGTTGACAACTCCTGGGCTCAAGTGATCTGCCCACCCTGGCCTCCCAAAGTGCTGGTACTACAGGTTTGAGCCACTGCATCCGGCCTTTGTTTTATGAGACAAGGTCTCACTTTGTCACCCAGGATGAAGCACAGTGGCACGGTCACGGCTCAATGCAGCCCTGACCTCCTGGGCTCAAGCAATCCTCCCACTTCAGCCTCCTGAGTAGCTGGGACTACAGGTCTGAACCACCACGACTGGCAATTTCCTGTCTTTCTTGTAGAGACAGGGTCTCCCTATGTTGCCCGGGCTGGTCTCAAACTCATGGGCTCAAGTAATACTCCCGTCTCAACCTCCTGAAGTGCTGGGATTACAGTTTTCTCTTTTCCTTTTCTTTCTTTCTTTTTTTTCCTAGACGGAGTTTCACTCAGTTGCCCAGGCTGGAGTGCAAGTGGCATGATCTCAGCTCACTGCAACCTCTGCCTGCTGGGTTCCAGTGATTCTCCTGCCTCAAACTCCCAAGTAGCTGGGATTACAGGTGCATTCCACCACGCACGGCTAATTTTTTGTATTTTCAGTAGAGATGGGGTTTTACCATGTTGGCCAGGCTGGTCTCAAACTCCTGATCTCGGGTGATCCACCTGCCTCAGCCTCTCAAAGTGCTGGGATTACAGGTGTGAGCCACTGTGCCCTGCCAGTTCCTTCTTTATCAAGCAAACAAACGTATGTAACTTTTATAATTGGGACACAAAGGGAAATTGCTATATTTTATTAATAATTTTTTTCTTTTTTTTTTTTTTCTGGCTGGGGATGGCGGCTTGCACCAGTAATCTCAGCATTTTGGGAGGCCAAGATGGAGGATTACTTGAGGCCAAGGGGTTCAAGACCAGCCTGGGCAATACAGTGAGACCTCATCTCT